AGAGACTATCTGAGACGCCTGGTCGTGTGGGAGCATTTCGCGAGGTGCAAGTGAACGGTGACTAGCCACAACCCTAGAAACATCGAAGAGTGATTCATAAAGTCGGAAGACAGCGAAGTGGTTAACAATCTGAATGAGACAAAGGGATTCGGTGGAGGCTGTGAATATGTTTATCCAACATGTATAAGTTACCAATACATGTTTTCCCAGTGATTGCGCAAACTACTTGGAATCCCGTAAGATGCTTCATGCTTCGACCGGGACACAAACCTATTGAACCATACAAAAAACAAACATATGTACTTTTTGAGTGAGATACCAAACGAGGATGAGGCTTCGGTGGAATGGGATCCGACAGTTTGTCTTCTCACCCTGGAACGTTATATCGCTGATCGGTAACTGAGTCAGCATTAGAACAGAATAAACGAACCCGGCGGTCATTGGCTTCGGTTGCCCGAGGTAAGGAAGTGAATCACGTCACGACAAATCAGTCACTATAGTCCGATGAGTACGGAAACAAATCATTACATGAGCGAGTTCAATATAAACCCTTATTAGTCTAGCGAGCAATCTCCATTGAGGCTGGGGTTCCATTGAACCAAAGGCGATTATTTGTATACAGTTTTTATGGAAAGGTACAACTGATAGCATACTTAAAAATGGAACTTGGATCCTGGGATTCGATAATATATCACCAGAACTGCAAGACCTAATCTGAACATATGCTCGGGCTTTCGGGTTGACTAATACATTCATCATAGTTAAACTGCTCATAGTAACGAAGTGAAACCTACAAATTCTCCGTTAATTGGTAAACTTCGTCATACAGTTTTTCATCTTTATTGCATCAATTCCTATCTTCGTTGCACGCATTCACGGGCTTATTGCATTTGCTTTTAACTGTGTAGACCAGTTCTCATCAGAAATGCTTCAGACGTGAAATAAAATTAACCACCAGTGCCTACGAACGATAGATGAGTTCCTCATTTGATTTCTGGATTCAGACTGATCAAGGTATTACCGGATTTCTCGTCACGACACGAAATGGCTATACTGCTTCCTGGTAATGTCGGTTGCCTCCCAAAGAAGACACACACAGTTCCTGTGAACGAACAACCGTACATCATAAGGTAATCAGAGTAGATTAGTGTAGTCCAGTGAAGCAGCCAAAATCAAGTCCCCAAGAGCCCACTAATTAGATAGTTTGCGCTTCAGACATTCTACCTCTAATTATTCGAAAAGTTACTATTGAAACTATTGGAGTGCGGGAAACTAAGGACAAAAACCAGGGGAGTTTAGGCAACTTTCTCTGGAATCGGTCCTTTACGCGACACAATGACTAGTGATAAGTTTCTTCAAATAAAAGAAGCGTGTTTATGCCTGGAAAACCGGGACCATCGGTACAAGACAGTTATGGATGTTGAGATACAAACAAGCAAACTTACGAAAATTGT